TAGTCTTTTAATTCCTTTAAATTTGGTCATTTTCTTTTTTGTTAGTTTTTTCTGTACTTACCCCATTTTCATTTTTATACTTACCCAAATTTTTTTTTTACTTCTCTATGAGAAAGTGTTATCAGATTGGCAACACTCTATTGTAGAGTAGTGATTCTGACAAAGGCGGTGAAACCATCTGTTAATACCGAGGCTCAAATCCTCAGAAAGTTGAGGATCCTAATGGAGGAAAATTTTCACTTAGGCGGGTCGCTCCTGGGTCATATTTTAGTGCTTAATTCTGGTGAGCTAGGATTAAGTTGTGATAATGAGATAGATCGAAAGATTCTTTATTTAAACAGGCATTAAATAGTTTATGGAGGATAATGTAGATTTAGCTAATTGAATGTCCATTTGTATTCTATAGCCGTTTTATAAAATAAAGAAAGGATCGCTGAAGTAAAAAAAAAAAAAAAAAAAAAAAAAAAATCTGTATAAAATCTGTGAAACTAAAATAAAATTGAATTTAAACATTGGAGATTTTAAAATTAAACTTATTTCAAAATTAGTAGGAGTTTAAAAAACCCTATTTCTATTTTTAAAATTCTAATTTAAGTTAATAAAATTAATAAATATTTACCAATAAATAATTATGTAAATAAATTTATATATTAAAAAAAAGGATTTATGGCTCATATATTTAATACAAATCATTATTTATTTTATCTAAAATTAGATGCCAAATCATTAATTTTAGAATCCTCTATTGGATATTATGCAATAAAAATTAAATTAAAGACTTGAAGTTAGCCAATAAACTTATATATTTGTTCATATAACTTCTTTAATAATAGAAATATAACTAAATACTGTAATTTAATTAAATTTATGTAACAAATTATATTTCATTTAAAATTCTTTGAAACAATTGAAATGGTCCAAATGAGGTTTATTCCAATTGGTCCATAAGTCTATTATTTTGAGAATACAACACTGATTATATGATATTATACAGTATATACTGTACAAAGTTTGATCTACAACCTATTTTATATGAAATTGAAAATTTTTATACCCTACTTTTAAGTTATCTACATATGGTTTCTTAATAAAATTTTGAGATATTGATGATTTTTAATTTTTTCTTATACTGGGTATATACTCACCAGATACAAATAGAAATCCTCTAATTTTATTAACAGATAATAAAATGGGCCATCAAAAGTAAAAACCAAGGAATTTGACAATTTTTTGAAAATTAATCTGTTTGATTGATCAGGTGTAAAATTTAAAGCCCAATCTTTTTTGCTTAATAATGAAAGTCTGATCAATTAATAATTTTTTGCGATACAATGGTTAAAAGCTTTTGACGCCATAATTTAAAAATAGATTTACTGGTGCAAATGTTAGTATGATAGTGATCTACAGATCTAATAATCCTGTTTAAACAGGTTTGTTAATATTGAATAAACTATTTTTAGATTGTTTTGATTTTGTGTAACAAAATAGTTTTTGCTAATTTTCTCAAAACCCGTGATCAACCAAATTCCCTGGTTTCTACTTTTGACGGCACGCTGTTTCTGATTGGACGAAATTGCTACGCCCCATAACAGATAAAAATGATCTGAGAAAAAATAGCCAATCACAGAGAAAGCCCGCCATGTTCATATGTATTGAAAAAAATTTGATCTCGAAGATCACTTTTTTGGATCACTCTTTTTGCAATGTATAACGAAGGCTTCGCCGAAGACGAAGTTGATCTCTCTGATGAGGTTGACTTGTTGACCCCTAGTTATCCCGTAGTCGATGAAGATTTGGACGATGATGGTAAGTTCTTAATAAGATTAATTGAATTTATTATAAATTAAATTACATTGATTTATGACTCGTTTAGATCAACTTCAAATGATGCTTCAGCAACAATATGCACAAGAAATACCCGATGTTGTTAAAAATTTCATTGTATATTTTCACCGTAACGTTCTTGAAAATAATGTCTACGAGTTACATGGGATCTACGAAAATTCGTTCAATCGATTAACGGAAAAGTTTTACATGAAGACGCCATGGCCAGAAGCAGATTTCATTGCCCCATTGGTTAACGATGGTATAAATTCATTTGGTTTTTATCTGATTATTAAATATGTCATTTAACTGTAAAATTTTTTTTAGACCAAGTATTCTTGACTTTATATCGTGAATTATATTATCGACATATATACTCGAAACTTTCACCAACTATCGAACACCGATTTCATTCATATGAAAATTATTGTGATCTATTCAACTATATTTTGAGTAATGTTTATTTCAAATTACAGTCAGACCTCCCTAAATACAATTTGTAGGAACAAAAACTTTGGCAACTTGCATTTAGAGAATAATAAGAAATTGCCTTTATGGGGGTCTAGTATATATTTGGGCCAAATTTAAAAGTCTCATTAGTGCATTTATGCATGCAATATTTAATAGCTTGTTATTTATAAACTTAATACAGACTCCGATGGCCCAGTTAGTTTGGAACTTCCAAATCAATGGCTTTGGGACATTATTGATGAATTCATTTATCAGTTTCAATCATTCTGCAATTATCGTAATCGACTTAAAAACAAGACTGAGGAAGAAATTGTCTTGCTGCGGGATAATATTCAGGTATACAGGAAGATTAATCTATGTTGTTATGTTCAATATACTTAAATCTCACATTTTGATTCAGGTGTGGAGTTGTTATAGTGTGTTAAATGTCTTATACTCTCTCATCACAAAGTCTCGGATCACTGAACAATTGCTCGTAAGCAAACACGGAGGTG